TCTCTCTCTCTCTCTCTCTCTCTCTCTCCCCCTCCCTCCCTCTTTCTTCATTATTTTTTTCTTCTCTCCTCGTCACTCCTCAACTCCAAATCCTCTCCCAATTCACGTCTCGTAATTTTCTTTAATTATTCTAATTATCGTAATTGCCGTAAACCTATGATTTGTATTTACGTTTGTTGTAATAAAGGGACGAATAATGGCCGTTACATAAAGTGATTGTTGTTAGAAAGTCAGACGAGGGAAGGCCTTGGTGCATAGCACTCGCTATTTCCTTTATTATTTACTGGCACACGTCTGTCCACACACATAATCACATTTACGTACGCGAATTACGTGCGGGCGTAATACGGTACATATGCATACCTATATATGTATATATTTACGTGTACTTACCTAGCCATAGAAATGCCAATGACTTCTCCTGAAAATTGTTATGAAATTACGATTTTCTCCAGTTGCCCAATATGTATATATACTGTAAAAACATCATATACATTCAGGTAGTATAATCCATAAAATCGTTATATGGCAACAAGATCATACAGTATAATTTATTGATGCTTTGCGAAAGTGATTATCATGAATTTTTACCTAGTACAGTACTACGGGTACTCTCCACTTACGGTGGCGTAATTTTTTTCATAATGACCCCCCTCCTCTGTTTTGTCTACTACTAAGTAATTTTAGATCTCGTTTTGCGGTACTTCGATAGTTTTATCTTGTGCAATCTCATGCTGGTTCCAGACTATTCACGCACGGAATTTCGTGGCTCGTCGAACGATCTTCAACGTGGCCTTTTTTTAACAGTGCCTTAGTCGAATCATACATGCTTTATACGGGCTTACGAAATATTATTAATGTATGCTTTTATCGAGATTTTAGAGACTAGATCTGTCATTAGGTATACTCTATCATCCCTTACTAGCCAGAAGCATCCTTATTTTAGCAAGGGGTATTCAGGATTTTAAGTACTTCGTTACTTGGAGAAATCACAATCTGCTTTTTGTTCCTTGTATGAGGTGAGTGGTACAAGTAGAAAAAGTTATTAAAAATATGTTTTTTGTTATAATGAAGATCAATAATTTTCTAAAGTAGGGATGCAGACTGATCCATAACTTGGTAATATATATATTGTGACGTGATTTTTCGAATCACGGTCCCAAGGCGGCTCCGGTTACCGATACAGATAACGTTCTCGATTTCTGGTTCCCTTCGGGTCGCCACCCTGCTCAGAAGCTACGCTCTCGGGTTGATTCGTATAGTTATGTCAAGGCTCTCGTAAGATTTCGTTATTGTTTAGTTGAGGTCGAGGTGCTCGAATCTGCCGTGGGGAGATAGTCTCGACGTACCGAGTTGCCCGGCAGAGGAGAGTACCCGACGGAGACGTCTCCACGGACCGGCAGAAGCCCGGATGAAATACCAGCGCCCCGCTGGTGATGGGCAAAGGGCTGTAGAGCGGGCGGAGGGAGTTTTGATACGGTTAA